CTTCTGAAGCTGCTGCCCCCGCGACCCGACCCCGGATAGGCGGAAGAAAATGGATGGATGGATGGAAGTTTGGGACAAGTGTTGGTGTTTCAAAGCTCCGGTAATGAAATCTGTCTTATCAGCATTGAGAAGTAAGACATTATCTGAAAACCATCCCCTAATTGTAGACAGACAGGTCCCTAGTTAAGACAAGTCAGCACAGTTTCCAGATGTACAGCAGCAGATCATCAGCATAACAGTGGCAGGCTGCACTAAAGACCACCTTGATGGACCCCATACTTCACAGCACATCACAGAGAGCTCATTTTTAAAATCAACACTGAGATCTCCCAAACAGAAAATGAAAGTACAGTTCCATTAACTCCAATAAAATGTTCAAGTCTATCCAATAAACACAATGGTCCATAGTGTCAAATGCAGCACKTGGACCAAAGAACTGTCATTGTCAGCATTTACCAGTAAAACAACTGATCTTAAATATGTTAGTGGTTTATGTGAACACTGTTTAACCAAATTATATCAAGTTTATGAACTGCATCAATTAAAAGTAAAACAGAAAATCTTGTCTTTTTCTCTGTTTTATTTTTATTTTTAGACTTTCCCTTTCTTTGGAGTAGTGCCAGCCATCTTGAATGAATCGGGAGAGGAGCTTGAAGGGCCAAGTGAAGGCTATCTGGTCAGGAGCCTGATCATTTCTATACTTATTATTATTCTGTACATTTGTACTCATCAGGTGTATTGATTCCTGTCACACAGGTGTTTAAACAGCCATGGCCCGGTATGATGAGGACGGTGTATGGAAACCACCAGAGATTTGAAACCACTTACTTCAAGAAGTTCCCTGGATACTACGTAACAGGGGATGGTAGGAGCCAGCAGCAAGACTGAGAACATGTCGGATCAAAAACATCTACACATGGTTGAACTGATTAGGAAAGAAAATGTGAGCCATCATATCGAAATGAGGATTAAGTCAGATTTGGTCAAAATGACCTAATTACATTTTCAGATTCTTGTCTTTAAAAGCTACATTTTGATACCTGGATCATTCTGATATCATAATTAAATCCATATATATGACTTAATTTGTCTTGTTGGTTACAATAATACATAAATATTTGGTCTGAATCCTAATTTTATGTCCTTTTAATGAGGAATTTTTTATGTCCTTATAAAGAGGAAACATCAAATTATATTTGAATATTGAGATTTCCCAGCTAAAAATAAACAAAACTTTGCTAGCTCACAGGGAAAATATCAAAATTTTAAGGCGTTTTCCCTCAAAATCAGATTTTTTTTTGTTGCTACTGTTCAAAAAATGCTTCAAAATTTTGTTTTATGATTATATTTCAGACAGTTCATTCAAATGATACATTGATAAGGCTTTTATTCATTATATTTTGACAAAATGCAATTTTTGTTAACATTTTAGTCAAAACACTATATTTGCCTTTTTCTCCATAMACCACTTTTGGACTTAATCTTCGTTACGATGTGATGGGTCACATTTTTATTTACAACATCAGAGAATTACATTTTATGGCTTTTAAATGTTTGGGTTTTTATTTAAGAGCTGCCTAAACGTTTGCTGGTACACAGCACAACTTATTGAATATTAGCCTGGCCCTTGCCTTCCTACTCAGTTCTGCTCAATTCTAGTTTTCCTTCACTGCTCGTCTGGGATTTCTGCCATACAGCTAACTGTTGACATAAAAAAGTCTGATATTTAGTCTGTAAATACTGCTGCAACAAACCGTTGCTTATAAATGCAGTAAAACAAAAACAAAATGATTTTCTAATAAATGAAATTACACTTACTGCACACTTTATGCCTGAGTAAATATGTTGTCGTCGTCGTCGTCGTCCACCCCCGTCCCCCCCCCATATGGATTTAACTCAATGACAAACAAACAGCAATGCCGATAGTATCTTTATTGCACAAAATAAAAGTCAGACAACCTATAACTACATATAAAAAAACTACTTTATAGTCTGAATTTAACAGGAGCAGCTCTCCTGTAGCTGCCCAGCCCCTGGCTTGTTTGACCCGGATAACGAGGCAGCTGGTACCGACCAATGTCAGAGAAGGTGGAGCAGTGGTCCGGGGGCTCAGCTGGTCACTTGTTGAATGTGACTCTGAACAAAAATACAATTAGCCTCGAATACAGTCAAAATTAATTACTAATTACAATAAAGGTACAGCTGGGGGTGTTGTTTTTAGCCTGGTTCACTAACTAGTAATAGCCGCTAGCTGCTAACTAGTTAGCATTGGAAACAAACATGCACAAAGGACACATCAGAACAAACTTTAAGAAGAAAAAGTACGTTTCACAAGCGAGACGTGTCCMACAAAKTACCTTCAATATTTCATGAAATGCTTGAAAGCCCTCACCGTCTGCAGATGCCTCTAAGTATGTGAAGAGTCCAGTCTGCAGTGGGGTTGTTCACAGCTCAAGCAATTTCCAGTTAGCCTCTTAGCTTAGCCTCCTTCACAGTGGAGCTGTCGCACTGCGTACGTCGCGGCCAACCGTTAGCGATTGGGTACACTGCAAAAAATGTCCACCCAACCAAGTTTTAAAACCTTATATCAGCCAAAAAGTCTTTTTGATCTTGTTTTGAGACTGATTTACTAAACAAGAACTGATTGTGTAAGACTAATAATCTTGTTTTCAGAATGTGTAAGATTATTTGACTTGTTAGCTTGAAAATTTGACTCAAATTAAGTAAAAAATTTCTGCCAATGGAGTAAGAAAATTTTACTTGGTAAGATTCTTGAAATACTTGATTTGACTCAATTTTTTCTTATTTTTCTTGTAGTAGCAATGTAGCACCCACCACCTTACCTCCCRTTTAAAATGTAACTGTATCGCTCCAGTATTTCATCTGAAACGACTTCACTGCTCATGCTTTAGAGTAAGAAGAGAGGCAGCTGGAGTCATGCACTCATCATGCCTGGTATCTTCTGTACAAGTTAAACTCCTGCTGTCAGTACAAGATCTTTATGTAAATAAACCGTCCAATGGATGGTGGTGGTCAGGTTTGCATTAACTGTTCAAACATTTAAAGGTTGGAGTTGTTTTAGGACAGCCGTAATCTCTTATTGTCTAGACTCCACTATATTGAATTTTATTTTTACAGGTTGCCGCAGAGACAAGGATGGCTACTATTGGATAACAGGGAGAATAGACGACATGTTAAATGTCTCAGGTAAGAGTTGCTCCAATAAATAACTCTGTGCTGTTGAACTTTTTTCAGCCTGTTTTACAGGACATGTAGTTTTTGTCCACAACCCTTCAGTGAGGYAAACACTGAAGTGTTGGTACGAATTCAGACATTTTCTGTTGTTTATCAAAAATAAAAATGCTGATTCTGATTTTAAAAAAGACATAAATGTGCAAGTGAAGAATGTTTTTTGATTAATAATTAAAGAGTCCACTATACTGAGAACGTATTAAAATCAGAACGCAGACGAGATGGAGATTGAGTTTTGGACAGGAGGATCTTAAGAACAAACTTTGCAGCCTTTTACTTCCTCTGGATGGCATTCATTTGACCTCCAGTTAATGTGACCAATCTTAGTGTTAGAATAGAATTGAATTAAATAGAATTGAATTGAATTTGTTGATTCCCAAGGGGAAATTGCTAATTTGTTGACAAGCTACTCCATCCAAAGTGTTAAATATAAAATGTATTTAAAAAAATTAATCAGGATCTGTCGTTTAAGCTACACTTTAAAAATGTCATCAGGACACGTGTTCATCACAACTGTTCCCATCACACATGTGGAGCAGTGGGCTGCCATTTTGAGGCGCCCCAGGAGCAGCTGAGGGATTAAGGCCCCAGAGAGGGGCAMATTTTTGTTGTCCAGGAGTTGAACCAGCAACCTTACGTTTACAGTCTCTGCTGGTCATTAAAAGCCATTAAATGGATTTATCTAATATCAGGGCCTTAAACTGCATTAAAAATGTAAAATTTGAACCTAAGTGGCTGTTGTGGAAATATTCCACCAGGCAGAGATACGRGAAATAAATAAAGTGAAAACTGTGTGGTCTCTGTCTCAGATTATTTAATAGAAGTGCATATATGCGAGAAAGGTGAATGAAAACATACAACAAGTTGTATATCCATATGTAACCATAACTGCATCAACACCAATGTAAAAACAGTGCAAACAGATTCAATAAGTCAAACATGTCAAAATTTAAAGAACTTAAGTGTCCAAAATTCAACAMGGTATCGCAACACAAGTTCTGCCTCCCAGTGAATTAGATTACATGTACCACTTATGTGCCATCAGAATCTTATCTTGGATAAAGTGTTAACTTAATAACAACTAGTTGTCGATAAATGAACCTTAAGTAATGCAAATTAGGACAAGGCAGGTTGAAGAAATGCTGAAGGCAAAGAGACTGGACAAGTTCAAATAGCAAATGATAAATGAAGACAACAAAACTTTATGAATAAATTTAGAAATGTCATTAAAATGTTCAAAGTTTAGTTTCCRCTCCATTCAGGTAAACTATTCCACCCCAAACAATTCCAAAATCATAAAAAACAAAAATCTAACTCTAAAATACCAGAGCATACATAAAGTACACTCTGCAAAACCAGAAAAGTAAGTAGCTAAAAAAGAAAAAGAAAAAAACATCAAATGAAAGTTTCGAAATCACTTTAGTCAAAAACCACAGAGTCCATAAGGCATGAACTCAATTAACTATTGGCATTTACTGGTTTGCTCCGAATAGAGA